GAGTAGAATGGCGAAGAGAAAGGAGCGAGGGCGGCGTGGTAGGCAGCTAGATCGGAGCAGGGAGGAAAGGTGGAACAGAGAGGGGAAAGAGAGAGAGAGAGAGAGAGAGAGAGAGAGAGAGAGAGAGAGGAGAAAGGGACGGGTGGGAAGGTAGGTCGAGCTGGCCAGAGAGAACGGAGTTAGCGCGATGTTAGCTCGCACGTATGTAGATAGAGTACTGAACTATGTATTAGAGTCGTGTACCTTCCACATAGATATACCAGGGTTTGTATAGTACAAGATTTGCCATTGGCGGAGCCGGTCTGAAATCCTGCACAACGGGTGCCCTCGAAATCCGCACCCCGCTCGTCGTCGTCGTGCACCCCGCTCGCGACATCTAAACGATGCTTTACGAGCCGCGAGAGCTTGGCACCCAGGCCGATTCTCCACATCTATAGGGGATTAACCGATACCTGGCCGATACCTCGTAAATTTCGCAAATTTTCTTCCTTCTCCTCGTCCTCCTCGTCCTCTTCCTCCGGCGAAAAGCACACATCGGGAGGACAGCGAACGAACCAACGAACGGTGAAACAAGGCGGATCTGGAGAGGGGGGTGGGTGGGAATTTATTTCGTCGGCTCGTTTCGCCGAGCAAGTGCAACTCGTCCCGAGCAACGAATCTCCGCAAACACAGCGATACGGAAAACGGATAAATGGCAAAGAAAACCGGGAGAAAGCGAAGAGTGCTTGTAAACTAAGTGTGTACTATAAAAATACGCTGGTAAGGAGCGCAAACAAAGGGAACAAAGACGGAAAGGAAACGGAGAGAAAGGAAAATGCCGGTCGATGTAAAGAGGGCTGAGCTCCGTTAACGCGAGAACCTACGCGGCGCGGCGCGGCGCGCGGCGTCACTCGGCGACGATCATGCTTCGAAAGACCATGCTTAAAAGAGCAGAACGTTCTTTCTTCCTTTTCTTCTTTTTTTCTCTTTTTCCTCCTCGAGTGGAAACCCCGTCGAACGGACAACGAGTTCGTTTCCAACGAACAGTACAGAGATAAATAAGAGAGGCAGAATTGGCGCGAAGAATGAAACGCGCGGTCGATTCCGCGAAAGGAGGGAAGAAGAAACTGCCCGATTCGCTGCCCTCCAAGAAGGAGAAAGTGAAGAGAAAAGAGGACAGAGAGAGTGAGAGAGACGACGAGCGGAACCGGCGGAAAGAGGAGAAAGGAGGAGAGGGGAAAGAGCGGCGCGAACGGCCGTAAACTTTAAATTTACGAAGTGATATACACGCCAAACATCCGGTAGATATTTAAACTCGGGTTTCACTAAACTCAACAATAACGTTCGCGCCGCTATTTCGGTTCTAGCCGTGGCGACTCCTCCTTCTCCTCCTCCTCCAAGCTGTCCGTCGTCGGTCCGGCCCGCTTTCGTTTTGGAATTTTCGTCGTTTCGAAACGACCGGAAGCTGCACGCTCCGACGCATTCTCGACTTCGGTTGCGAGAGAATCTTCCCCGAGGTCGAGGCTCACGTTGCCGGCGTTTCACTTTGCCCACCGTGTCCACAAGACTTTCCCTCCTCGAGAGATAGCGAACGAAACCGGGTTTTAAACAGATCGACGTCGAGATATTGTTTTTTCGTCTTTTTTCCTCGAGTGTATCTCGAAGCAGCGCAAATTTACTTGTACGCACACAGAGCGGTGGACCGGTGGACGAAAGTTTCGCCCTCCCCCCCTCGCCGAGAGAAAGACTCAAACTACCCGCCGCAGTTTGTTGCTGGAATATTTCTCCGACTCGACGATTAGTCGATGCTTTGTCAGTCACGGGAAACGGGTCACAGACGAGATATGGTTTTTTATTTACGGAACCGCTGCGACCGTGTTTTTTTGGAGTGAATTACGCCTTTTATACTCGTAGAGGAGCGTGAAAGTTTCGTTTTTGGCTTTCAGACCATATGAGAAATCAGATCGTGTACGCTTGGATATCGCAGGCGATAATTGTTACGACCGTTTGTTCGTTACGTTGTGCACCGTGCTCGATTGATAATGCAAGAAAATAAACGGGTGCGAGCGATCGCGACCACCGTTTATGAAAATTTCAAACTCGATTCTCCACGAGATACCGCGCGAGGCTCCATAACCGTGTCGCGACGATGCAGATTATTCCGTTCGTTTCGAAATCGATCGAAATGGCTCTCTCTCTCTCTCTCTCTCTCTCTCTTTCTCTCTCTCCTATTCTCTCACTCTCTGAACGACACACACACACACACACACACACACACACACACACACGTACACTGTTTTTTTCCTATCGTTTCTTTCCAAACTTTTTTTTTCACTCGTTTAGATTCACTGACCACCGCCGCCATGCGGTGGCAACGGCAATACGTGCAACGCGAAATCGCTTTCGATACGCGGCGAAAAAAAAAAAAAAAAAAAAAAAAAACTTTTTTTGCGTTCCCCCGCGAAAAAGGAAAAAAGTCGCGGAAATAAAAAAAAAAAAAAGAGAAAAAAAAGAAAAAACTCGATTCAACGACCACTCGAGCTTACAGCGATGAAACGCTATTTCTATCAAGGAATCGTTGAAAAATCGAACATGGAGAGAAAGAGGGAAAGAGAGAGAGACAGAGAGAGAGAGAGAGAGAGAGAGAGAGAGAAAAAAGAGGAAGAGTCCTTTTTTTCAGATCCGGAGAAGCGTAAGATGGCGACGCGCGCGCGCGCTGCCGGAAGCCTTCGCGGCGTGGTTCCGGTTCGCGTATTCGCGGGCAATTAACGTGCCTGGATTCTAATTCGAGCCGATTAAAAGCACGACGTCCCGGCAATATCGTTCGAGCGATTTAATTTAATGCGGGGTGGCCGACTCGATTGAATCCAAATCGATTCCGGTGCCCGGCTCGATTCGATTAATCCGGCCGATTAATTCGACAAAAACTAATTCGTCCGCCGCGTCCGCTCGTCCGCCAAATCATTCTAACCTCGTTCTCCTTTCGCCGACTCGCACGGTCGGCGCGCAGCTGATCTTCTCGAGCTGCCTCTCTCTCTCTCTCTCTCTCTCTCTCTCTCCGATTCTCCTCGCTGTTTGTCGATTGTCTCGCGAGACGACGAAAGATCGGCAAAGACCTAGGAAACAGGGAACGAGGGACGTTCTTCTAGTCGTGATCCCGCTGTAATCCCGAGCGTCGTTTTGTGCGTAGATTCGCAAAACCGTCGATTCATTATTCATTTCGGCGAGACGGACGCATCTGTTGTACGAGCGAGCGGGATCGGCGGGAAGGGCGCACTGGGCGGAGGGTCGCGAAAAAGGGTGGCGGGAGCTTCTAAATTCATCACTGGACGAGGACGTTGCCCTCCGGCGAGTAGGTATACGTATACATACATACATATATATATATATATATATATATATATACATATACATATATATATATATATATATACATATATTTTTTAGCGGTGGAGCGGGTACCGCGATTAAAGAGTCGAGAACAAAAGTCACCGTGGAGGCAACGTAATTCCATCCTTATGAATCTTCTATGCTTCTCTTGCCGCGTGCCTCGAGCCTGAACCGTCATATCCCACGGCTTTTGCCGCACCGCGCGCGCCGCGCCATCGATCTTGAATTCTATAAGCCCGCATAATTACCCGCCTTTTTTCGAATTCCCTTCGGCTCTGATATACGCGCCGCATCGAGCTCTAGCTCCCTTTCGATAAAAGGGGGGTGGGGAAGAGGTGCACCAGCATCGTCTTCTTTTTTTTTTTTCGTCTACGAGTTGGTAACGAGATAACGAGGAAGAAACGTACGGGCGGACGCGCGAGAGAGAAAAATTGCAGGGAGGAGGAGAGCGTGAAACGCGCGAAGTGGGGAAAGTGAAGGGCAGAAGTGACGTCACGGGTTTTCCGGGTGTCGCGTCGTTTTCTCCGTCGGATCGCGCCAAGTCATCGGAAATAACGCGATTAACCGTCTCTCGCTCCCTTTGGGGAGAACAGAGAGAGAGAGAGAAAGAGAGAGAAAAAGAGAGGAAAAAGTGGAGGATTTTTCTCTCCGACCGCGCGCCGTTGTCGTTTCTCCGGTGATATCAATCGGTGCCGCATCACTGACACGGTATTCAAGCCCGATTCGCTTATCGCGCTCCATCGACGTTCCAATCGTCCTCGAAGGGCACTCGATGCCATCCCTTGGAGAAAAGTAGCGAACACGCAGTGCAGCCTCCCTCCTCCCCTTCCTGTACTCGACGAGAAACACGAAACGATCTTCCTGATCCTGCGATCCGATTCGATCGGCTCGCGAGCTCGTTTTTCAGCCACGCAAATCAAATTTCTCTTTTGCCAGCGACCATCGGCGCCGCTCTGACTTTTCCACTTCGATAAAGACGCGCGTGCAGCACCAGTGCCTCGACGCTTTTGGCACTTTGCCGGGGCGGTAAAACTCCGAACGACCGATGGATCGATCGATCGATCGATCGATCTGTATCTCTGTATACTCGTGTTGCGTGCCTAACGTACGATCTCGTAACGTACGATTGGCAACGAGAACGGCTAATTATTTATTCGCGAAAGGGATTAAGCTGTGTAAGCGAGGCAGGTAGGTTTCGCTGGAGGCTCGTAGGATCGAGCGTGGAAATTGGTCGTCGCGTATATTTGGTCGGGGGCGTACGGCCGAAAGAAAGGTATCGAGAGCGGACGTAGACACGCACACGCACACGCACACGCACACGCACACGCACGCGCGCGGCAGATTCGGACAGCGAAACGATTCGGTTTTCGATCGACTTAGCGGTTAGAGGATAGGCTCGAGCATTATTCGTACGTGCCTGTGCCTCGGTTACGCGGGCTATCGATTCCTTGGTCGCTTGCCGGGGGTAGTAACGTTTCCCCTCGAAACACAAACACAGGGCCTCGCATGCATGCGCGATGCAACCCCATGGTATGCATTCGATACGCACGTAGGTACCTACCAAGAGGAAAGAGGTCTCCGCATCGCGCGATCGATGTTTGATTGCACTTTATATCGCGTTTCTCTCTTACCCTATCCTCCCACTACTACTTTCGCCTCTCTACCCTCTACTAACGCCGCCGTCGCCGCCGCCGCCGCCGCCGCGCTCGAGTTTCGCCGTTCACTCCGGGCTGCCGACCCGCTTTTCTTTCCTTCCTTTCGATTCCTTTCGTCTCCTACTCGCGGTTATCGCGTATCTACACACTCTCCCCGGCGATGACACGCCCTGAAACTAGCCCCCCGAGTAGAAGCGTAAGGTCAGTAGTGTGCAAGGCCACCGTCGTTCCTCAACCGAGGCCTCGAGATTCTCTCGTCTCGTTGTCCGCGAAAGCGCAGCCGTTAATTAATTGGAACGACGGTGAACGACGATGCTCGAACGATGAGTCTTCTCGTTGATGCTGGCGAAATCCTTTCATTTTTTTGTCCCCCTCCCCTCCTTCTCACCTCCTTTCGGGAGGCGCAGTTTCACCGACGTGGACGGCTGATGGATGATCCTCCATATATCTCGCCGGCCGCAAGAAAGGTAAGACAGACTCGGCATCTATCACGCGCGCGAGAGCGAAGGATTCAGGAGCAACGAGACGGCGAGAGAAAGAGACCAAAAAAAAAAAAAAAAAAGAGCGTAGAGAGAGAGAGAGAGAGAGAGAGAGAGAGAGTATTAACGGAGCGGACGGTGAGATGGGCACGGGCAAGGAATGTTTATAACTTTGATAACGCTCCCAATAATCTATTTCCGCGGGGGTAATACATTACGCGGCTGGATTTTCATGCCCGGGACACGGGGATCGCGCGCTAATGGCAAAGTTCGGTCGCGGCCGGTTCGCCGATAGGGACGCAAAACAATAGTTTGGCGGACGCGAAATTTCGTCTGCGGCGCGCGCGGGGCTGCTTCGCTGGCTACGCCGCCGATAATCCGTCAGGATGACCGGATCGAGTGTACGTTGGACGTATAGTTGGACGAGCGTTGGTGAAATCGCGCTCGTCCTACGGATTTCACCGTAGATGGGCGTCGCGTCTCTCTGACTCTCTCTCTCTCTATCTGTGTGTGTGTGTGTGTGGGCAGCTTTTTTTTCCCGCCCCTTCGTAGCGAAGCAGTGGCGTGTTTCGGAATGGATTCGGCGGGAAATCGGCCGACGAACAACAGTGAGAAACGCGAGGAAAACGTATCGCGCGACACGGGTGCAGAGAGCGTGTGTAGCAAAAGAGAAAGGCTGGAGGAAAGGCGGGATTTTGCAGCGAACGGTATATAGTCGGAAGGTTGCTCAACGCGGCGGCGTCGTGGTTTAATAAGGAGCTATCTATAGCGGAGCATTATGTTACCTCGATACATCCGTGAGATGAGACGTTGCAATATTAATGCGTCTCATGAAATATTCGTCGCCGTCTTGCCATTCATCTCGCTCGCGCTCTGTACATTATATAGAGGGCGCGGGCGCGGGGGTGGCCGGGGTAGGAGCGCGGAGGAGGCAGCTGGAGCAGGAGGCTTCTCGCAGCGAGCGAAGGGTGAGAGAGGGCCCGAGGGGAGAGCGAGGAAAGCGAGCAGAGGCCGAGCGAGGGGAGCATCGTCCTCCTCGACCGCCGCCGCCGCCGCCGCCGTCGCTGTCGCCGTCGCCGACGACGACGACGACGACGTGGCGAATATTTTGGTACGGAGAATTTCGCCAGCAACATCGTAGACATCGAGACATACCACGAAATATACCTGCATTTCTGCACTCTCTTACTTTTGCCTCCGCTTTTCCCCCCAAAAAAAAAAAAAAAAAAAAAAAAAATGGGCGCGTTTCGCCGAGAGAGGCGAAAGGAGTGAGACGAAGCCCCCTGTTGCTTGCCGGATCGCGCACTCCAGCACACTGCCGCCCTTCGAAAACTCACCGAAAATCACACCGGCTGATCTTTCTATCCGTGGCGCGCGGGGGGGCGCATGCGTTTATCTACCGCGCCTCGCGACTACCGAAAAGTTTTCAAACGCGTTTCGCGAATCGATCCTCGAGCGAAGGTGAAGTTTCGCGGCCGATCTCCTCCGCCTTTTGTCCCTGCCTTTTGGCGAAGTTTGAAAAATCACCTCCAACGGGATACGCGAGAGGACTGCGAGAGGAGACCTTCGCCTCGCTGGCGACGAATCGATCTTGGAAACGTTCTCCGTTCTCTCTCTCTCTCTATATATATATATATTCCTCTCTTTCTCTGACGGTCGCGATAAATTTTTCATTCGGTTCTTTCGTCGCTTTCGTTGTTCCCGACGAGTTGTTGCGGACGAGTGTAGCGCGCGCGTAACTCACGCGCGCGCTCTGCCAGAAGCTCGCGTCCGACCGATTCCAAAGAGAGAGAGAGAGAGAAAGAGGGAGGGCGATGTACGGTCCAGAAAGACTGGACAGCCAAGGGGAAACGGAGCGGGAAGGACAGAAGGAGCGAAAAGAACACGGTGGTAAGGGCTGTTGGAGAGGGGAAGGTTGGTTGACGGAGACTGTCGACAGCGGGACCCGGTGGGCAAGAGGGATGGGTGAGCAGCAGGCAGGAGGAGGCAGGAGGAGGCAGGCGAGGAACGCGCGGTGGTACAGGCGAGAGGAGGTTGTGCGAGAACGATCTAGAGGAACGAGGTAAAGGGGTGGCGACGAGAGCGAGGTAGCGAGGCAGCGTGAGCGGCAGAGGGAGGGAGGGAGGGAGGGAGGGCAGGGGGTAGGTAGCGCGAGGGCGAATGCTAATATTAAAAGTAATATTTCTCGGGCCGTCCGCGGGCGCGCCGCCGCTGGAATCGCGCTCTCTCTCCGCGTTCTCCGTGGTTCTATTTATTTTTAATATAAATTAAACAATTTATTTTCCGGCGGCAGGAGGGAAGGAAGGGTGGTGGCGGAGCAGCCGTGCCGTGCCGTGGGCGCGGAGTGAAACGGGGAACGGGAAACCGGGAAACCGGGGGAAACGAGCGGGGGAGGGAACAACGCGCTGGCTACTGAAATAGAGAAATAATGCCGGGACTGCAATATCGAATGAAATATCGTCCGCGATCTCTCTGCCACGGTTAGAAGGAAAATACAAACGTATTCTTTTCTGTACGTGCGCGCGGAGGCTGTGCGTACGCTTGTAATTTCCGTCTTTTTCCGAGGGGAAACTCGCTATTTACTTATATTCGTAACCGTCTGTGCGACGATGTTGAAGTGCAGCTGTAAGAGAAAGAGAAAGAGAGAGAGAGAGAGAGAGAAAAGTAGGAAAAGACGAGCAACCGGAGGGAGGGAGGAGGGAGGCGGAGAAAGAAAAAAAAGGACGAACGAAAAAATGAGGAACGGTAGTTGAACTTTGAGCAGTTGTCGCGCGAGTCGCGTCGAGTCACGTCGACGACGACGATAGCTGCGTAAAGAAGCGAGAAGGGTGCGATTTCGTGCGTCGCACGAAATTAACGGCGTCTGTAACTTGTCGAACAATTTCGAACGGCTCTGGAAAGTCTCGTTTCGACGCCAACGGCGGATGACCGATATTTCGAAAAATTTAAACGAACGTTTCACGCAAGATTTCCGTAGATCAGAATTCGCAAAGCCTTTCGCGATTCATCCGACCGACAGCGGACAGATCTCGCTCGACAGAAATGCTCGACGATCGGAAGTCGTTCTTCCGATAATTCGAGAGCGCCTGGATTAGCCTCCGTCTTTTTAAAGCACCGCGTATCGATTGTACGAAATCTTTAGAAGGTCCTCACTCGTTGGCGGTCGCCGGTGCTTAAATATACATATATCTCGCCTTGGCATTGACCCGCTTGAAAGGAAACCCTTCTCGGCGAGTAACCGGCTGTACGCCGTCGCTAATTCCCGCAAATTGCCTCTTCCTCGATATCATCGGTGTCCACGCGAACGGCTCGAGCGTCGCCAAGCTACTTTCACCCCTTTCTTGGCTTTAGGGAGGGGGAGGGGGGGGGAGGAGGGGTGAGTCAACGAAGCTTACAGCCAACGAAGCGAGGAAGAGAGGAGAAAATCGGACGTGGAACAATGGGGGCTAACACGGAGAACTAACGTAGAGAGCGGAGATTGTCCAGCGAAAAGGCTCTGGTTTGGTAGAAAGGTAGGTTAGCAGTCAGGCAAGCAAGCAGTCAGGCAGTCAGGTAGACTGGCAGACAGGCAGGAAAGGCAATGCACTTTATGATCGAATATAGCGAACATATAGTCGAGTACGGGTAGGGCAGATTTCTATGTATAGCGTGCCTGGAATCATAGGCGACGCGTTATACCCGGTACACCTAGCTGACGACGAGTCACGGTGGCGTACGTAGTACGCATTCGTTTTGCAAAACGCGATCGCGCGAAACCTCTCACCTTTGCGCCAATGAAATCCCTCTATCGGTTAACGATTAACGAAAGGTACCAAGTTACACCCGCTCCAGAGTGCTTTCGCCGTCTCCCTTTCGGATGGACCTTTGTCGTCCAGGCGACTCTCTCTCTCTCTCTCTCTTTCTCTTTCTGTGTGTTTCTCTCCCCGCTAGGTATAAATTTAACGCGTTGCCGCCGCGCTGCGCGTTCCCCGTGGCTGCGCGAATCCGATCGTTAGCGGGAGCCCTCGAGCGAGACTGTACGCCCCTAATCTCTTCATCCTCGCCTTCTTCCTTCAGCCGAACAACCGACTTCTTACAAGTCGCGACTTTCAAAGGCCTGCGTCGTTTCTTTCGCCCCACATCGGCGAACTTTGCTCGCCGTGGTGAGTAAAAGTCTTCTCTACCGCTTTGCGGCAGACTCTCTTCTGTGGAGGAGGTGGATCGTTCGAGTTTTCTTAAACGACGCTAAATAGAAAAGCGTACCGGTGAAACCGGAGCTTCGATCCCGGAGGCGATTACCAAGCGAGTCGACGTACGTACGTACGTACATACGTATGCATGCATGCATGTATGTATGTATGTATGTACGTACGAGCGGAGGAAGTGAGATCGATGTTTCGCGCGCGCGTCGAACAACCTGACGATACGGATCGGCGAGAAATCAGCGCGGCTTTTGTCACCTCGTTGAAGGCGCGTGCCGGGGATCGCGCGCGATCGCGCGAAATGAAAAACGATCTGATCGCGGATCGAGAGCGTGAGCATGGGCCTTAAACGCTTGGCGTGTCGCGTTTCTATTTTTTCCTGTTTTTTTTTTTTTTTTTTTTTTTTTTTT